GAAATCTATCTTTTATGATAAAAACCTATCTTTAGGGGGTAGAGAGTAAAACCCAATGTCCAGTGTTTAAATAAAATTTCATGAAGTTGGGGGTGAAGGTAAGGAGAAAACCAAACAGAAAACTGTTTCATAATATCAGAAACAGTCCTGACTTCAACCATGAAATTTCATTAACATCTACACTCACAAATATTTTGTGTGTGGATTGTTTGATGCTTAAAGAAGGGGTTTAGGTTTACCAGTAGGCCAGTATAGAAGTGGCATATGGGAAAATGTGCACATGCAAGCCCCTCTAGAATTTCCGAAAATCTTGGAGTTCCCTAAGTGACAACATATGGGGAGTGGGTAGACTCTGCCTTATATGCCAACACAATACATTATTTATGTCTTATTCATTCATGTCCTTATGTGTTTGCTCTGTTGACATCATTGACAGGTTATTATGGAGACTTTGGTTGGGAGAGATTAGAAGTATGTAAGCATGTGTTTTGTATTATTAACACTGTTCATGAAAATGAACCCTTTATCCCTTTCCATTGCCTCAGCTAAGCTCCCTCTGTAAGCTGCACACTCACTCTCCATCTGTATCTACTGCAGAATGCAGGTAGTGCAGGATGCAGGGTACATCTGGTTCAGCCAGGTAGAGTCAGATGATCTTTCAACTCCTCCTTCCTTTCTGCCTAATACTCAGTTAATCTGAGTAATATGATTTTATCCCATCACCTTTGTTATTAAGCCCAGAGTTAAATTTTTCTTAGGGTAAGAATAATTACACAAAAGTTTTAAGTGTTATCTTAGGAGTTAAGTTTTAGGAACACTATGGGATATATAAAAACATATACATTGGGAGATTCTGGAAAAAATATAGACTGTTAATAATTCTTAAAGAAGTACATTTTTCAAGCTGGGTGTAGTAGCCACACCTGTAATCCCAGCACTTAGGAGAGAGGCATGAGGATTTCAGATTGGATGCCAGCCTAGACTACATAGTAAGATCCTGTCTCAAAAAATAAAACAAAAAAAAATAAATAAAAATAAGCAAAACCAGTAAATACATTTTCATTGCAAATTACATGTGTTTAGTTATCTAGTGTTGGATATAAACCACTCCAAAACTGAGCAATATAAAACATACAGATGGCTGGGTGCCAGGGGCTCACACTTATAATTCTAAATACTTGGGAAGCTGAGATAGGGAGGATCAAGGTTTGAGGCCAGGCTGGGAAAGTTCTTAAGACTTCCATCTCCAAAACAAACCAAGCAAAATGACTGAAGGTGTAGCCAAGTGGTAGAGCAGCTGCTTTGCAAGTGTGAAGCCCTGAGTTCAAACCCCAGTCCCACCAAAAAAAAAAAAGCAAACAAACAAAAAGAAAATATATGGATGTACTGGTATACTGTTTCTCTTTCTGATCCTGTCATGAATAGTCTCATACTTTTGAGACTCCAATACAGCATGCAGCATAACAGATGTATGGAGGGGCAGGCTTAGCTTTGTTTTCTTTAGTCAATGGAGAAAAGGACTTTCTTTTCTGCAGTCTCATCATTCCAGGACTCTGATCACTGTCATGGTAGTAAACCAAGAATGCCAGGATTGTTGCATGGACCTAAGCGGAAAGAGGCTAAAGAGATGCCTTAGTTTAGGAAATTATGTAGACTTCTGTTGGCTCAAAATGAAAAACCACATAGACATTGGGCCTAAAGCCCTAGCCAGTAATAAAGTAAGCATTTTCCTGAAGTGACTTCTCTGCTTATATGACTTCTTAGTTATATCACTGAGGTAACAATTAGGCAGCTGGTCATCTAGAGGACTGAAAGTCCCACCCATACCCTCTCTCTATGCAACACACCTGTGTAATCTGTACCCTCTATTTGTCTAGTTCTCTCACTGAGGTAGAGCTTTTTAAAAGTGGAAAATATGTACCACTCATCTTTGCATCCCAGTACCTAACACTTACTTCCCATTTAACAAGTATTACAACCAAGAGACCTTCTTTGCACTAATTCTTCTTAACCACATCATGAACACATACTCAAAAACTTTCAAGAGGCTCTTGTCTGTCATTGCATTAAGTCTAAACTCCACTATCTAATTTCAAAGGAACTTCATAGTATGTAATATGTAGACTTAATTTTTCTTAAAAATTCTTCTAAGAATTGCTTGCTGAATTTCACTAATTTTTCTCAGATGGAAATATGACTTGACTTGTGGCAACTAAATGTAATTTTGAGGCTGTGCTCAGTTATCACAAATTCGAACTCATCGACAGTGCTCTCTTTGATTGAATTTGCTTTCCCCTTATATAAACTCTTGTGACCCTTAGAATTTGCATCAGTCTGATTCCATTACATGTTGTCTTTCATAGGACCGTTCCTCACAAATAGTATAGCTCCCCACAATGCCCAGTGATTATAAGGTTGTATACTAAAAAAAAAATTGTATTGCAACGTGAAACTATTCCCTAATGAATTGATCACTTACAAATATAATCCTCAAAAGTTATACTCCAAATTCACATTAAAAAAAATTACCTCTGACAAGAAAGGAAAGGGAGTGGAATGGAAATGGTAATCATAAGCCTTTAGTTTTATCTGCAACAACTTTTTTAGAGAATGTATTGGCCTTGTGGTAAATTGCTTCCGAAGACAGTTATAACAATCTCTCCTATGCTGTTTACTCTTTGGCCACAGGATGTTGCTGTTTATCCCATAAATTTGTGGAGTCTATTTCCCATCTCCTTGAATCTGAGCTTGGCTTGTTAACTGCTTACACCACAGAACATGGTGAAAACAACACGGTAGAGTTCCAGACCTAACCTTAAGAGCCCCTGCAGCTTTCATTTCTACTCCCTTGTAACTGACCCGCTACATAAAAAGTTAGGCTTCCCTACTATAGAGAGTTTCTGGAAATAAAAGACTGAGAAGAGAGACTTCTGAATACTCTAGTTAGCCCAGTAGACCTACCAAACATATGAATGAGGCCATCTTGGATTCTGCAGTTGAATGAGCAGGCACTGCAGAGATTACTCATTCCAGCTGAGCTCTGCCTAGTCAACCGCAGAACCATGAGTAAAAATAATGATTGTTACTTTAAGTCTGGCTTGTTACATAGCACAAGATTACTGCTATATTACTTGCGTTATCAAAATTAATTTTTAAAAATAAGCTCACATGCAAACCTTGTTTAATAATCCTCTCTCCTTCCCACCTCACAGCCCATCCCTTTAATGTCTCTATTCATCTAGCTGATTATACAATATCCAACAATGCGATGCAAAATCAGTGCAAATCAATGCAAAATCAGGGTAAAGTGATTATAATGTGAAATTGCAAATCTTGCAAAATATGTAGGAAATCATGAAGTTGATGAAGGTAATGTTAAAGAAGCCCTTGAATCATTGGCACCTCCTCTGACAAATGAGGATCTGCAGCTGGGATAGTTAACATTTTGAAGAAGAAGAATCCACATGGATGATAGCACAATAAGTGCTTAACATGAGAATGATTTGAATGTCAAAATTTAAGAGAGGCTCTTGGAAAATTGATGAAGTCCTCCAATATTTTTGAAATAATGACACTCTATGATTTACCCACAGAAGTCAAGTACAAGAGGATATGGCATCATGATTCCATATAATTTTGCCAGAAAATTATGCTTCTGAAAAATCAACATTTGATTCATCTTTTGTTCTATCTAACACATCATTATCCAGCTAAGTTTTGTCAAACCGAAAGTAAATTAATTTTAATAATTTTCTTACTTTGTTAAAGAAGATAAAGTACCAACTAAATCTTCTTTTTGCCTTCTTTAGTCTCTATTTTTAAAAGATTCACTTTAAGTGTGCTTTGAGGGCATCAGTTATGTGAGGAAATTGGGTAACTCTATAAATGTTTTTAATTAATTTTCTTATCACGTATACTCATTGAGGACAGGGTCTTGGGTTATATTTTATGACTATCCTCTGTATATGCAGAAGAATACAATAACTATGACGTCAAATGACCTGCTGATTGATTGGCTTACCTGTAGACGTTGCTATTGAAGAATAGCTTTGTTCTCTTATCAATCCCCGACCCGGTATGAGCTGGCAATTTGTTCTCAAAACTGTTCATAGAAGTCCTATACAAACTTCCTCCTGAAAGCATTTTCAAAGGCTAGATACATTTAAAACCGATTCAAGCATGTAAAGTCATTTTAGGAAATAAGTCCCACATCCCAAGGGCCTAGCTAAGGAGGGTCAAGTTGAAGAACAGGAGTGCCACTTCACTGAGCAGGAATTTGGAAATGTCAAACATTAGAACCACTCCAACTCAGTCTGTCCAGCAGTCATACTTCTGGACACATATAAACAAATGCCTTGCAGAGACAGGGATTTGAGAAAATCTCTCAGCTTGAATTAAAAATTAGTTAAAACAAATCAGCATGTTAGCTTCTTAAAGAGATTACTTGGGGTTCTCTTTCAGTTGTCTTCAAAAAAAATGTCTATGTTACAAAAAAAAAAGATGGTCACTCAAAGGTTTTCATCTCTTACATAAGGGTGTACAACAGGTAACATGACTTGGTTTACCATCCCTGAAGTTCAATCTCTTTCAACTTGTGTTGCATCCCCTATTGCAAGAGCATAAGAACTGGGCTGCTTTCCTTTTACTTATCAGGATTACTTCCACTCCTTTGCAAATGAGAAACTAACACCACAAACTCTACCCTCCCAGTCAGGCACCCGGTGTTCTGCAACCTATCAGTCTGTTCTGGGGCAATGCAAACAATACTTTCCGTTACAATAACTTATACCCAGGAAAAAAAAAAACAGGCGCTCCGTAGCATAGCAGCCAGAGAAAAGTTTATTAGAGTTAGCCAATTGCAAGCTGTGGAGCTCTGCCAAGTTAACATGTTTTTCTCCGCCTCTAGATGAAGTCATGATTGAAATATGGCATTGAACTTATTTTAAAAAGGGAAGGGGAATAGGAAAGAAAAGGCTAAACCTGAAGCAAAGAGCTCTGGGCCGTGGAGAACGTGGCCAGGAAATGTGTGCATGTTTCTGAACTTGGGGTGGTTGTCAGTTCCGTAACCTTCGCCTCCCACTGGGTGGAGTAGGGCCTTTAAGAGCAGCTGGAATGCAGTTCCCTGATCAGCTTAGCCAGTTGTTGCCTGTCTGAACTTCTGCCAGTCCTGGAGAGCGGTGCTCAGAGCTCAAACCAGCGGGCTGCCTTCTGTACCTTCCCAGCCGCCCCCTTCTCGCTAGAGCAAGTAGCTCCCAGCAGGAAAGAAGGCTCCCACCTGTCCAGCCATGGGAGAGGACGCTGCACAAGCCGAAAAGTACCAGCACCCAAGTGTTGACATGAGCCAGGAAAAGCCATCGAGCCCCAGCCCGATGCCCTCCTCCACGCCAAGCCCCAGCCTGAACCTGGGGTGCACCGACGAGACCATTCGCGACAACTCACAGGTGAACGCAGTCACAGTGCACACGCTCTTGGACAAGCTGGTGAACATGCTGGACGCCGTGCAAAAGAACCAGCACAAGATGGAGCAGAGACAGATCAGCCTGGAGGGCTCGGTGAAGGGCATCCAGAACGACCTCACCAAGCTCTCCAAGTACCAGGCCTCCACCAGTAACACCGTGAGCAAACTGCTGGAGAAGTCGCGCAAAGTCAGCGCCCACACACGCGCGGTTAGAGAGCGCATGGAGAGGCAGTGCGCACAGGTGAAGCGACTGGAGAATAACCACGCCCAGCTCCTTCGACGCAACCATTTCAAAGTGCTCATCTTCCAGGTCAGTGTCCCCAGTGCCTCCTCCCACACGGGTTGGGACCCCTAAACATTCATATGATCTCAGTTCTCCTGGCTCTTACAAGCAATTTTCACATCTGTCCTGTCCGTCAGGGATCACACACAAGGCATTGTCTCCTGACTGCCTGTAGCAGGCAAGTGTGAAATTTGTACACAGGAGCGGGAATTTCCCAAGTCACTGCTACCCAAACCCAAGACACATGCCTGCTGAGTTAGTAGACTGGGGTCATTTGTCAATGAACACCTGGATGCCTTCCAGACAGGTTGGGAAGGTGTGCAGGTGCGTGCACTTACCCTAGTCAAATTCATTTGTCTCTTTGCATTAGGAACTTGGAGCTCTGGCTGCAGCTGTTAGCCAGGACAGGGCAAATTAATTCAGTGGCTGTTCATCAACTCTTTATAGAAATGAAATAATCAGATGAGGTTTTTTGTTTTAACCAAGAAGTCACACTCATAACTGTTAAACTATCTCTTTTTCCAAAGGCCACTGATACTTGGAGGACTAACCACATGGGAATTGATGCTACTGAAGTTGAACTAGCCTTGTTCTTTTAAGATTTTTTTTGGCAAAGTAATCTTGAGTTCTTTTCTAGCAAATGATGCACTAATAATGCAGAGCATAACTCTTTGCAAACACACTGGATATGTCTGTCATTACTCAGAGAGACCACAATTGTAAAGTAAAATAAAAGAAGTGTTTATCAGTTATAGTCACAAAGGCTAGTCTTGACTGTTTTCTCCTTCAAATGATTGCCTTAGAATAAAAAGACCACTTAATTTTTTTAATGCATCAATGATGCAATTAACGTAGCAAGAGGCTATTTGGGGACAGGGAGATTGCGTGGGGCTGTTGTTCTGCCAAGTGGTGGGCATCTGTGAATCCAAGGAAAGCCCTGCCTAATGCTGGAAGCCCTTCGCCCAGTGGCACCCAGCCAGCACAGAGCCCAGGAAGCATTACCATCCTGCCTCAGGGCTGTCTCCTTGTGACCATGTGAATAGGAGAGAATTTCAAAGCCATAGAGGGGAGAGGCTATAACCAACAGTTTCATTGTGAAAGCACACAGGGAGAGCCTTCATCTCCCAAGAGAGATTTAGAAATTGGGATTTTAAATGAGCAAGCCTTCTTTTTCTAAATGAATCCACTCTGCCAAGTTAGAACCTAAGCCTTCCTATCCCCATAAAAGGAAAGACTCATCTTGCTTCTTTTTGTCCTCCACAAGAGACACTTGAGAATATTATAAAGGTTTAGGCCACCAATGTCCAGTACCCTGCAGGTCTTTGCAGCCAGAAAATGTTTCAGTTTTTAATGCAAATGCAATAGTTTTTCATGTAGTAGATGAACTGTAAAGAGATATGGTAAGCCATTTGACATTTTTACTTTATTAGCCTAAAAGACATTAGAAACCTCAGCTCTCAAGGCATTTCTAAATTAAATAATGGTGTCTAAACAAAGCCAAACATGTACAGATGTGTTTAAATCTGAGTTGCCAAAGGAAATTTCCCTCCTTCCAGTATGAATCAGGAGATTATCTCTCATCCCATCTCTCAGTTAAGGACAGGGGAACGTATTTCTCTAGTAAAGGAATAATCACAATTTGTCAGGATTGTTTTTTGTTTTGTTTTTCTGCAGATGTTCTGCAGCTACTGGGGGGGAGAGATGCAAGGTGTGGGGGTAGTGACTCGAAATTCAAGAGAACTGTGAATCACATTAAAAAAAACCCAACTCTCGAGGAACCTCAAGGCACGTGCTGTTGATGAGGGCCTGCCATGGTCACCTGTTTTGTCACATTGGATTGACAGGTGTGAAATTGCTGCCAGAAATGGTAGGAATGCTTCACATAGTGAGAAAAAGCTGGAATAGAAGTGTTCAAGACCAAAGTGGAAGCTAAGAAAATCTAAAGCAACATGTTTAGACCTCGTTGTGGGATGCTCAGCAAGCATCCCCCAGAGAACATTTTAGGAGGCAGGGGACTAGGCACAAGTAACTGGACCTTTCTTTATCCATATAAGATTCTTTATTAGCAGAATGAATGTTGGAAATCTCAGCCTCAACGCACTACAAAATGGTTATTTAGAAAAACAAATGCAAGTTCAGTCCTCAGTGGAAAGGTCACTCTTCCTCTTGTTCTTTCTTAAAATAGGGTTTTAGTAGGGTGGGAATTATGCCAGTGACTAAAGCCAGTAGTTTGTGTGGTGGAGTTGTCCAGTACCATGGTTGAGAAGATAAATTTTGGAGTCACATAGGCACTGGTTCAAACCCTAGCTTCATCACTTGCTATGTGATCTTGGACACTTTTTTTTTTTTGGTGGTACTGGGGCTTGAACTCAGGGCCTTCACCTTGAGCCACTCCACCAACCTTTTTTTGTGATGGGTATTTCTGAGATAGTGTCTTATGAACTATTTGTCCAGGCTGGCTTCAAACCACAATCTTCTTGATCTCTGCCTCCTGAGTAGCTAGGATTACAGGCGTGAGCCACCAGCGCCTGGCTTTGGAAACATTTTGACTCTACTCCATACTGCTATTTCCTCATCCATATGGTAAAATATTGAAAGAGAAAAAAATACATAAGTATTTAGAAAGCCCTGCATACACTGCTAAGCAATATCTCATGTATCTCCAATTTACAGATTAAGATGTGTACATTCAGCGATGTTTATATCTTGTCTGAAGTTGTTTAGTAAGCAAGTGGTAAAGCTGGGGTTCAAACTCATATTTAGCTGATCCCAGAACATGTGCTCTTAAACACTAATGCCTTCTCTATCATCTCTCTCTCATAAAGTGAGGAATAAAGGAAATAACACATTTAAAATGGCCAGCACAGACTGGCATGGTAAAAGTGCCAGTGACTAGAAGCTGTTACTGTGTAGATCTGAAATGCATTTGCTCAAAAAGGAAGCAAATTTTTTATTAAAAATATGACTCTTAGGCCAAAACTGACCCCACCCTTCCCAGAATCTTAAAACAGCTTTGCTTATGCATTTTTAGTTGGGACACATTACTGCCACCACTGCCACCATATATAACATGCCTACCATCATATCCAAATTAGCACTAGGAAACAACACCATACAAGCAAAGGACTTCACCCCAAAAGACCTGTAATTAGACCCTTCTAGTAGCAGCATGTTCTTCACTGAGTGACAGAAGGTGAGTGTCCTAGACCTGCAGGAATTGTAGAGGGAAGATGGCATACCAGGTATACTTTGTATCTATAAGTAATCTGTAACTTTAAGTCCACTTGAACCCTATGCTGGACTTCCCTCACTAAACCTGTTGATTTCCTCATTAAAGACAAGGACTTATGTGAAAATAAAAGGAGAGTGAGAAAAGAAAATCTGTCTCCTGATTTGGGCATATTTAGTGTTAAGATTATACATACTTCCAGTTTGTGAAGTCCTATCATGTCCTCCAAAATGGATAAGTATATGTGGTTGATTGGTTTACTAGATACTTATACATTTGACTTTTTCATTCTAAACTTTGCTCTTCATCTGTACTACTTTCTAAAATGTTATTTACTTATTGAAATCTGTGCTGAATTTTACAGCCCTATTATGCATCTAATTCCTTAGCCAATTACTTCACGTTACAACCAGTAGTATCTAAAACTGGAGACACATTCATCTCCCTTTGAACAACAAAATAAACTTCAAAACCCTAGTTAAACTCAGCAGCTTTCCTTTAAAAAAATTTTTGTAGCAGCTTAAGAACAATGTTTAAATTCAAAATACAGTGACATGACTCAGCATAAATGAAACAAAACTCATAGGTATTACTGATCAAAAAGTCAACGGTAAAGAAAGACAAAGACTAATACTTTGGCTGTAAGCAATCCTTTACTAAAAAGTGAAATTTGTCCAGAAAAAGCAGTGAATTTACAGTGAAGAGGAAATTTTCTCTGCTGGTAGAAGAAGCTAGAATTTTATAAATAACTATCCCTGGGAGTACACTGTCCACTTATGTCCTCTTAAGATTCCAGTAATGATTATTTGAAAAAGCAGTTTGGGAATAATTTCAAATCCAGGGAACAAAATGAGAGCACTCCTGGACAGCTTACACTTTCATCCATATAAAATCGTGAAGTTGGATGAAAAAAAAAGTAGAGGTTAGATATTTGCAGTGGATACATTTCTGGAGAATTGAGCCTATAAATGTGCTTAAATATTCATCATTTGGGTTCCTTCCATCAGACCAGAATTTTAGATAAATGCTAAAAGTGAAATATCTTCAGGCTATTTTTAAATTGATTATTTTAAAGACTGAATTTTGTTCAAATCCACTGACTGCTCTAAGAACTGTTATATAGACTTGGAAAAATATAGGAATACAGATTATCAAAGATGACTTTATATGACAACTCATCATCATGTTTGTATCACATTAATTAATATTCCATAGTGGGATATTGGTTTGATGTGTAACTTATCCAGTGCCCTTTTAGTTTATGAGGTAGACAAAATACCATTTCTTATTGTTATTATTTATACTTATTGAATGTCAGCACTGCCCCAGGCACTTTAACTGACTTACTAATTATTGTTGGCATTTCTTTGAAAAAAATCACTACATTCTCTGATATAGAAAAAAAAAAAAAACTAGACTCTTAGTCAGATGGGCCTTTTCAGTAAATGTTGCCGTTCCATTGTTTTGTAATCTGTACCTGTGTGAATTAAGTGAATGAAAAATGTTCTTCAATGTAGCTCTGGTCCAGTAGTGTTGAGTCTTGTGGAACTGCACACATTTAGTATGAATGTTAGGTATACTATGGGATCATGTCTTCAATTTATTAAATCTTTTTTGTGGGGTTTAGGCTAATATCACACAATCAATTATGTTAGATCTGAAAGCACATTAATAATCATTTAGTTTAACTTTTTAATTTTATATCAAAGAATCAAAGGTCTGGAGAAACAAAATGACTAGCAAGGTTTCGCTTTATTAATAATAGAAATTTTGCAAAATGGGATTGTGAAATGAATAAACACAAGCACTATAATCCCACTGTGGTAAAGTTCATGTTTACTGGGGTTTCTATATCAGCTTTTAAATAATTCAGTGTGATTTGTTTTTTTGTTTTGTGTTTTTTATGTGTAACAAAGAACACCTAACCAGTGTTAAAAAAATTGAACCCTTGATAACACTGAAAAATAATGAAACTTTTAAATCCTCCAGAATGTGAAAGACTGCTCAGGGATTATAACTAATGCATTTTATTCTTATGACTTGCTGATTCCACCGACAGCTGCCCTAGGGGTGCAGTTCTAATCAATGGCTTTATCCACTTGGCAATCTATACCTCAGAAACACAAATTGGAGAAAACCATCAATGTGTAAAAGAGACCTATAAATCAGAATGTCAGGTGGGCATAGTTCCATTTTAATAACTAGTATTTAGAGATTATTGGATAAAATATTCCATGGATACAAATTTATGGTCTTCATATCCCTCCAGGATGCAACCACATCCCTGTAGGAATATGACATCCTTTGTTATTTTTGTCTAACAACAGGAATGATTAGTTAGTGACAGGAAAGCAAACTGCTGGCCTTTCTCCCCTTACTCGAGCTTTGAAATGATTTATGGTTAATTTCCTTGTCTAATAGTCATGAAGTCGTTTAAAGTACGCATATCTATGTGTGCAGAGAATACTTGCTATCATGAGCTTCAGTCCAAGAAGTGCCCAGCATGTTGGCAAGTTTCATTGCCTTGCTAGTTACATGCACAACTAGAACTATTAGTTCACAAGAATCAGTATAAATAGCAAAGAAGCTGAAGTGCAAGGATAAATGCTACTTCTTGAGAGTTCTTTCCATTCCTTTTCTCTTCCTTGCTGCAAGTATATCCATCATATATGTCAGAAGTGTGCTGCTTAGTTCTCCACTGACCTAAAAACCTCCTAAGGGTTCTTGTGAAAGGTCAGAAGCAGGAACACCTGCATCAGTGGAGGCCGAGAACCTTTCTATAAACAGAGGACAAATAACCTACTACTCCTAGGGGCTTCTACTTGTTAGAAGTGCTCAAGGAAACAAGGTAGCCCACAGGGTTTCCTAGCACCATTTCAAAGAGCCACAAACCCTAAGTCGATAAATAAGTACCTAGCATAGGTAAGCTGTCAGTCTTGGAATCTATAAGTGAAAACATATCAAAAACATTATTAACAGGAGACTGAAGACAGAAGTGTCAGCTCAATTGTGGACATGTAAAATATCAGGTGTTTCCATGAGGTATGTGTGTGAGCGAACCACACACAAGGGCATGTGTTCCAGTGGGACTGGGCACCTCAGGGAGATGGTAGTTACGAAGATCCATTACCCAAAGTTTAGCTTGAATTACTACCACACAACAATTACTTAAGAGTCAAACACCATGCACATGTCTTGCAAAAGAATAGTGATTTTTGAAGAGGATCAGTATTGTTCTGTTTCTAAACATTTTGGAAAGGTAAAACCTCCATATGTTTGGACATTCACAAATCCCTGTGTGAAAAGAAAGGACTTGCCTTCAGAGTGGATGCCATAAGAAGCCACAAAATAAACACTGTCCAGTAGACAAAACATAAAATACTGCTTTAGTAATTGAAATGACAGCAGAAGCCTAGCAGTCATCCAAGAAGACATCTCTCACATGTTTCCAGTTGCATAAAGACACAACCAACTCATTCTGAATCACCTCTGTTCCTGCTGGGTTAATTTCCATAGTTGGCATCAAAGAGCTCTCTTATAAATTTCCCTAGCATTTTACAAAAGAGTTAACTGGGTTTCCCACCTTCCCTCAGCAACCTCTCCATCCCCAGAGCCAGCTCTATCTACCACAGATCACTCCTTAACTCACCTTCTAATTCACATGTTCATCAAAGTTGTCCTCAAAGGATACATAATAAGGGAGGCAAAACAGTCTTAAGACCCAACAGTAATTATGCTTTGTAAATTTTAATAATAAAATTTACATGCAATGAAAACTGAACTATTATTAGTTTAATACTTTTAGAAGTACAGTCAAAATGCCTACCTCTTCTTAGGGCTGAAGAAAGGGAAGTTACCCAATTTCCTACTTTTCATTACCCTGAGAGATTATGCATTATGCTATACAAAATGTACCTCTTCTCTGGTAACCAAGGCTTATTTTTACAATATTCTATATGAATTTCTTCCTTCCTCACTGAGCACTTTCAATAACATTTCACTGAACTCTTGGTTTCTTCCTTTCCTCTAAGCAACATCTGTCAAGCCTTCCCAACCTCTTGTCAAATCCCAGGAGAAATTTTGCTTCTGGAGTAAGAACCAGAGCCCTTATTCCCCCTTTCAGTAATATTCATCCACTGAGAACAAAATCCTTCCTTTGAAAGGGAGATCACTGTTCCCCTTAGGCCTTAGGTCCTCCTAGTTTCCCCAGTGACTTCAGCATTCAGCAAACTTCTTTCTAGTCACAGAATTAAGCCCTTTCTTTTGTAGTCCTCAGGCCTGCCAGAGGGGATCAATCTCCACTCCACCTACCCCTAGGGGCTTCTTAGAAAGCCACCTTACCTCACATGCACTCATGTACCAAGCAGTTGTTGAGCTTTACGTGTTCAGGCACAGTGGTGAACAAGAGACAGAAATTCTTACCCTCATGGGGAGTCCATTCCAGTGAAATAGAGACAACCTTAACTTGAAGCATGAGAAAGCTGCTTTCTGCAAAAGTCCACATTATAAGTGAGTCCTCATAATCTGATACCCCTTTCGTTTTTGTACATTGTCTTTTACTCTGTGTACCTGACACAACATGGCATTCAAAATGAGAGGGCATGAAGAGTGCTTTGGGAAACAGAATAAGCAATGTTTTCAATTCTAATAAGGATTCTGTTTGACCAGACTTTCTGCTTAGGACTATCTACTTTGTTTCTACTCAATGGCTAGAAAGGATTCTATAAGAGTATGGATAGTAGAGGGAAATAAAGTATGGATAGTAGAGGGAGACAAAGGGCTATGTCTCTGCAAAGAGTATCATGATTATATATTTAGTGGTTAAGGATGAGAATTTTTTTAAGTTTCCCTGTAATACCAAAACTTTGTGTCAAGAAGTTAAAAATAAATAGTCATACTCAGCATGTTTTTTATTAGAACCCAATTTCATTGTTTTTTTAGTCAATCAAAATTACAAAATGAGAAGGGAAGTTCTTACTGTTAACATGAACTTCACATGAAGTTTAGATCCCCAAATAGATTTTTAAATCCATTAAATCCAGTTGTCAACCCGAAAGTGTACTGGGCAGCTGAGATGTAATCAAGCCTCCTTGAGGCCCTGGTTGTGGTGGATGGCAGGGGCTCTAGAGCCTCCTCTGTATTCATGCAGAGCCCTGGTGGCACTGGGAGAGCATTTTGAAAGCTGCTAATCTAGGTCAAATCCTCTGGTTCATATTTGGAAGAAACGGAGACCCAAGGAGATTAAGTTATTTGCTGAAGCTGCTCAGTCATTTAGCAACAGTGCACAGACAGAGACTCAGGCCTCCTGCTCCACCTTCAATTCTGTGCCATTTTTTTTCCGATGAAAATGTGAAAGCACCTTGCTGATGGGCTTTTTCTAATATTTGAAAGGTAGTATAAAAATAAAAAGGTTCTTAGGCTGTGTGACCCAAGTCCATCTGGGTTCAAATCCCATGTGAGCAACACTGAAGCACCACCACCTTGTACTCTAGAGGCCCATTCCCAGCCTCTGCTCTCGGAGACCTCCCTAGGGCCACCTTGCCTATGGGAGAAGCTGGAGGGGGGACATGCTGGGATGGGAAGAGAAGTAGCTTCCTCAGCTTCACTCCTCACTCTGAGCTGGAGGTGGAGGCTAGCGAATTCTTGCCCAAAGAAAGTCTATGTAACAACAGAGCATGGATAAGCACAATTCCCCTCCTTTCTCTAAAAATGGCCCCAGCATCTCACCTCCTTTAGTAACTCCCACAGAAGACATACTGAACCTCTTCATGAGCAGACTCTTACCGGTAAAAAATGCCATGAACAAAACTGATTTTGAGCAGACACTAGGGCTGATCAAACCTTGCTTTCCAGCATGTAGTTGGGGACAGAATCTAATCAAGGCTTCACATGGTGTCCTGCACAGGAGGACTTCTTAGTTGTCTCCCCTGCCCCCATTTTTATCTTTCAGCTTGACCTTCAGGTTCTTTTGCAGTGGGATTTTGGCAGGAGTTGTGCTCTCTGACCTCGAGGGAGGATAAGAGAGAGAGGGCCTCTGCATTCCCAGCACAATGACTTAGTTAGCTCCTTTATCTAGGCAGCTTCCTGGTCTATCTGAGTCATGGCCTACTTCCCCCTGCCTGTCACTGATAGAGCCTTTGCCAGCTACCCTCCTGAGATTCCCAGTAGACAGGCCTTGGCCTTATCACCCTAAGTTAGTGAAAGGCTTGACCAATTTAGAATGAATGCTTCCTATTCTAGAAAACTCAAGCCACAAACATTATGTATCTGTCATTCCCATTTGCCAGAACACAGACACACAAATTACAGCAGTTCAGGACTGTTTGTGAAATATTCTATTAACGTAAAACCTACATTGTCCATCTTTCAGGAAGAAAATGAGATCCCTGCCGATGTGTTTGTAAAAGAGCCGGTTTTCAGCCCGGCTGAAGGGAAGGAGGAACTTGCTGATGAAAACAAGTCCCTGGAGGAAACCCTGCATACTGTGGACCTCTCATCGGATGATGAGCTGCCCCACGATGAGGAGGCCTTGGAAGACAGTGCAGAAGAAAAGTTGGAAGAAAGTCGGGCAGAGAAAATAAAAAGATCCAGCCTTAAGAAAGTAGATAGCCTCAAGAAAGCATTTTCTCGCCAGAACATTGAGAAAAAGATGAACAAGCTGGGGACCAAGATCGTATCTGCAGAGAGAAGAGAGAAGATTAAGAAATCTCTCACGTCCAATCACCAAAAATCATCCTCAGGGAAAAGTTCCCCCTTCAAGGTTTCTCCCCTCACTTTCGGTCGAAAGAAAGTCCGGGAGGGAGAAAGCCCTGTGGAAAATGAGACCAAGTCTGAAGACATGGCAAGCAGTGACCAGATGCCGAATGACCAAGAGGAGAGTTCGTTTGCAGAGGGTCTTTCTGAAGCATCGCTCCCTGGTGCTGTGGCAGAAGGGAAGCCTACAGAAGGAGACCCTGAGAAGGTGACCTCGAAAGGCAGTCATTCGGGGATAGACAGCAACGTGGACTTGACTATTATGGAAGATGAAGAAGAGGAGTCAGTGGCCATGGAACAGGCACAGAAGGTGCGCTATGAGGTTGGCTATGAGCTGACCTCAGAGGAGACAGAGTGGGCAGGTGAGGAGCAGGTGCAGCCGGCTGTGCTCCAGGTGGACCACACTGCCTGAGTGCATGGCCACCACACCAACCTGTGCTTCAGAGGAGTGGGCCACCAAAGCCCAGAAACAGACCCCTGCACATCTCCAGCACTGCCCACTCACTTCTGTCCTGTCCAGGCAGCAAGCATTGGCCACAGAGTGGCAACAAGAAAGCCACCTGTCAGGGCTCCCCTTCTAATTTGTTCTTATGTTCTGTTTCTATAGAATTTCTACAAGGTGCCAGGAGGAAGAAATGGAGCATTGACTTTGGCTTAATCAGAAAAACTAGAGGATACTTAAGAAGTTGCTAGTTGTGAGATGTGATTAATTTTTTGGTCATTCCATCAGCTTGCTGAATAGTGTACCAGGAATTAGTGAACTTTTGCTGTACTCTGTGAATTATTATACTTTAAGTATGTGACACATAATATACATAAGTAGGTAAGCTACGGTTATAAGTATATATTTTAAGAAGAAAACGTTTACAGAAAAAGAATGTTCAATTGGTTATTTGCTTAATAGAAACCATTGTTATATTGCAAATGAAGGAAGAATAAAAAGACTTTGACAGTGGTCTAATGACGTAAGTATGGAGTAAAATTATGGCTATTAGAACAGAAAAGTAAGATGGAAAATAAGAGAAATGAGAAGTAGAGAATGAAGACAAATGGAGGAAAAAAGTATGTGCTTAACAATGAAATATTGGGCTGGAAGTGTGGCTCAAGCAGTAGATCGCCTGCCTAGCAAGCACAAAGCCCTGAAATATTAAGCTTGACTATTTCATTCTATAAATAACAATACTAAAGAAGTTCATATATCCTGCAATAATGTTTTATCTTCAATATTTTTATTTTCTAATACATTCAAATAATATAACAAACATTTTATAGTGTTAAAGCTACACATTTTTTCCTAAAATGTCATTACAAATTTTTCCATACAGAAGTTCAAAAGGATGTTTTCCCTTTAACATTGGAATAAACATAAACTTCAAAAATATTAATGTATAATGTCCTGTAGGAAGTTGGATCATACTATTCTTTAATGTTTTCCAAACTGAAATAACCTTTACACTCCAAATAATGTGATATATGTTTATAAAATGTTAAATTCTACATGTTTGAGAAGGAAATGATGCTATATTTCCTTTTTTGTACATAGTTTTATTCCAGGTCATATTTTATTTATACATTAATTTCACAGAATATTAATATGTTTTTTAACTTCTTAAAGCATGCTAGTGTTTTATGTTGAATACACATTCATTCAGGCAGGGTAATTTTTACTGCTGCCTAACATTATACTAAAATATTGCTCTTTATCTAATTTTAATTACAAAATGGTAATGTTTTGTTAAATTATAGTTTAAAGATAGTGGACCCACGGAGCGAGTTCTCTCTCTACCTGTCTTATGTAGCACTGTAAGTAATCTTACAAACAGAGGTAATCCAAGATGGTATTAACAAACTGTGCTTTGTCTTTAATAAAAGAGATAGGATTAACAAAATGTATTGATGGAATAACCTATTCAGCTGTCTATTTTGTAGTAATGTAACCCCAAATATTGGATTGCTGAACTAACAATGACTGTGTTAAAGAAGATTAAATAAACCAAAAAATGAAAAGTATATAACAATGTCAGGTTTTTTGGCAGAACAATTTTACAACAAGCAGGAAGAATTGATTTTTAAACTCACCTTCAACTGTAGCAGTTATGCTGATTGTTTTGGTCTTGATTTCCTCTATTAACTATGCTTTTTTTTCCCCCTGATCTCACTTAGAAATCCAGCTCTCATTCTTCAAGTTTAACTTTCTTGACATCACCTTGCCAGCTCAGGATAGCATCTGAATTTATGGCAGCAGCTTGATGTATTTGATAGTTCCATCTGCATTTTTATTGTATTGTACCAGACCTTATAATACCTTAAGTAGTCCTACAAACATGAATTTATTGAACTGTACATTCAGTTTACTCAATCAGAAAAACTTTGTCTTCTGCAGTGCCAGAGACTGACTGGAAGACTTAATTTCATGCAGAGCCCACGGCATGACTGTTTAACCTTTATGGAGTTACTGTCACTTCTTGCAGCTGAGTTGGTGGGGGATCCACAGCTAATGTAATGTTTACCTTCTCTCCTTCTTCCATTTGTTCCTATAAACTAGCTGCTTGTCAGTGAATAACTGCGCTCAGACATCTTTTTAAGTTTTACTGACAATTACATTTATTCTATGTTCCACATTTGAAGCATTAAAATCCTAAGCAATAAAACAGAGAATTAGGCCAGATAATTGTTGGGAAACACATACTGTAGGGATTAGAGACAGTAGCAGTTGTGAAGAGGGAAGCTATTTATTTTGTATTATTGTTGAATTATTTGCATACTGGTGAGGCTGCAAAGTCCCCAAATTAGATATGTCTTCTTCCACCCATCCAATAACCCATTCCTAACTTCATGTGCCTAGAGCTCAAGAACTCCATTAGTTTTCCCCAGAGATCAGTTACACATTAATAAGGACTGAGATCCATATCTTAGAAATATAATTCAGGAGTAAGAAGCATCTATTACATGGATCACAAGTCTCACATAAATATAGCAAAAAAAAAAGTCATTTTCTACAAGATTTATTTTTTAAAACACATATGTATTTCAACAAAAATATTTTTCTCATTCCACTTAGGAATCCAGTATATGGCTGAATTACTGGTTCTTTTCTACGTGAAAATAAGACGAGCGTTAAGACCAGTTCTGTACAAGCCATGGGTTTTTTTAATATTTATTTTATGATGACAGTCCATTGCCTTTAGCAGTGCCCATCCAGAAGAGCAAATTTTGAACCTCATGTGATTCAGCCCACTATCAGGAAACCAGAAGCTTCTTTGACACAGCCAAGCTGCATTCAAGTAAAGGTTATAATGAAAGTCATTTCCGACATTAAGACACTAATGCCTGAACCCAGTTAATTCCAGCTCTAAAGTTTGTTTACTGCCCTACAGCGCAAATCTAAGTGATTTTTATGTTGGAGATTGGGAGTATGAAGAATTGAGGTACAAGCAGCAATCATTATTAACAGTTCCATGGCAACCACAAGTCCTTTCCCAAAAAACAAGACTGGCACTGCAAAACAAGTTGCAGATGAAATTGGCATTGCAACCTTTGTATTCTGCTTGATTTAGGTGTCTAGATAAAGACTTCTGTGGCCAGGAACTCATTCCTAAAAGGAACAGGCAGTAAACTCACACTATTAAAGATACGGTCTTATTTTTGTTTTAACCATTGCAGTATTCTGCAGTATTTGAAGCTCTAAAATTATTTTTAACTCTGCACACAAACTGCCCCAATTAAGAAGTCACACCTTTAGCAAAACAGCTTGATGTTCATATATTTATACACTTTCCACTGTAAAAATCAATTTGCTAAATATTTATGGAGCAAAGCAACTTTAGGCCCTCATACTTGCTAAAATTCTTAGTGGTCAAAGCAATAAGACACAAGCATGAAGGAAAGGGAACTGATGTTTTTTATAGTTTTTTTAACCCCAGGTTGAGCACTCCAGTAGTTACAATACTTTGCACTGAACACAAGCATTATCTCACTTAATCTTCCAGAATCCTATTAGGAAGCTACTATTTTTACTTCCATTTTAGTAGAGTAGAAACCTGAGACTTTTGAAGTTAATTCACACCATCTGGTAATGTGGAAAGGAGGGACTCCAGAGATCTTAAGATCTAAGTTCTCACTCATCATGATAGAATTTAAATGCATGGATACTGTCCCTGTCCTACTCAGTGTATGTGGGGATTGGTTCCAGATACCATTAATACTGAAATCCAGGGATGCTCAAGTTCCTTATGCAATGTCACAGTACTTGCATATAACCTATGCACACCCTTCCTTATACTTTAAATCATCTTTATGTTACTATTGTCTAATATCATGCACATAGTATGTAAATGATTGTTGTAGTATATTGTTTAAGAAATAATGACAAAAATTGGTCTGTACATGGTTAGCACAGAAGCAATTTTTTCTGATTTTCAATCCATTATTGAACTCCTGGATACAAAACCATGGATACAGAGCCCTAATGGTATTATTCCTGTGAGGGACACAAAGTTAAGTGACTTGCCCAACTTCACTTAACTAGTAAGTATCAGTGTCAGTATTCAATCCCAGTCTAAAATCCATTCTGCCAAAAGACTTCTAATTATCACACAACTGTGCCTGGTTATGGCTTTGTAAGCTCTCAGATGGTATAATATTAAAAACTTCACTCTGTTGCCCCTTATACAGTGTCACAGCTGCACTTCATAAGTGATTGTGATGATTGTCATTCCAATGCTTAGACAAACAGCTCATCATTCATGGAGAGACACAGAGAAACTATTTTTTCAGGTCTGCTAAGGTCACAGAGGGACTCCTTAGCTCCTTGGTATCATCCATTACCAGGGGCTGCAGGGTTCACTTTGGGGCAGGGTTTAATAAGAGCAAGCTGTCAACAGAGATAGATACTAGAATCAGCTCACTCAAAGATGGCTCATGGGGTCTGCCTCAAACTCTTTATGTTAAAGGAATCATATCTCTGTGTCATAGCAGAGAAAGTGCTACATTCTGCCCAGATACATCTTGTCATAGGCTGATAAAAAAAAAACAAATGGCAAATCAGCAGAGGGTAGAAGTGAGGGAGTATGGAGGTTTGGAAAAAGGTTGAACCATGAGGATCTGAAGACCCATCCTATGAATATAATTTCTGCACAACTGTGTATCATTCTTCTTAGAAAACAGAAGAGATGGGTCAAATGAATGCTCACATCTCTATCTCTATGAGCAGGAAATCAAAGAAAACCCTCTAAGCCAGTCCTCATTCATCAATATATTTGCTGCAGGCAACAACTTCCTCTGAAGGCCTTGGCAGTGGTCAAAAACTCAGATGCCTGAAGGGCTCAGACATGAGTAAAATGACTGAAGGAGGAGGTGACAATTACATCAAAGCTATTACCTATGGACTTTATGATGGGGCACCCATATAATTCATCTGCCTAGAAGCAGTGCCTTTTCCTAATTCCCAGAAAGGGAAGGTATGTTCTGGATTGCTACCCCAATCATCACCCAACTCCAGTTGCCATGTGGGAAATGAAGCCCACTCTTGCCAAAATTTAGACTTCTTTTTACATGAAAATCTCCCTGGTTTTTAATTTTGGGCAACTAGTTCAAATCATTTTCAGCATTGTGCAAAGCCAAATATAAATGTCTGTTGGCTGGATGTGGTCCAGGTATGGGCCATCAGTTTCTTACTTGCTCTACAGAGATGAAGACTCTGGGGTTCTCCTTGCCCTCCTGGAGGCATAGATACAAGAATAAAAAGCTAGTAAAATGATTGGATTTGCCTTAAGAAAGAGCACAAAAGCCTTCTTCGGGAATATAAAATGCAAAAATGCCCTTGCCAGCACTTGTAAGGCATTTCCCTCTTGCTGCTTACCAGATTTATGAAAAGATTGCAATTAATGCACTGAAGAGACAGTAGCCAATCACACTGAAAGATGGTTATATGTTCTTCAGAGGGAAAGCACCACTCCTTGTTATTAACATTGCTAGCCATTGTGGGTTACCAGCAGCAACCCCAGATGTCAAAGGGATTGGTATTCCTGGTTCAGTGATTATCTGAAGTGACTCTCCCATTTCTATGCTTCAGTTGAAAAATACCTACTTATGTCAATAACTTAGAGGATTTATGGATAGCAAAAGGCAAGTCTATATTCTCCTCTGTCATATATCAAGGTAAAAGTGCCAACCAGCACTCTTGTTCTTCAGCTCTTCATTGTTGATAATGAAGTACAAAAGGAAAAGAACAAAGCTCATTTTTTCGAATGCTAAATTGAGCCTTGAGAGCTCAAAGTTGTGGGGGGAAAGCTGATACAGATTTAGCACAGGGTCAAGATGCCCTTTGTTCAGGAGAGACTTTTCATGCTTACAACCACTTGTAGCTCTAAGGAAGCATGAGGATTAGCTGTCCCTCTAAGGTCCATTGCCTATTAATGTTTCCATGACTCTAATGACATGCCAGGAAAGACAGCTTATTCTAGGGAATAAAACCTTATCTGAAATATCAAATTTCCTAGTGACTTTAAATCAATAATTTAAAATCTCTACATAGAAAAGTGAAGCTCCTCAGCTCTAGGATATGTGGAGAAAAGTAACACAAATTGCAAGATTGCTCCTGAAATTAACCAGATAAAGGGAGAATGAAGTACATAGGGTGCAATTTCACTACCATCTTTTTGTTCACTGTTATGGTTTGAATATGAAATGTCCCTCAGAAGCTCATCTGTTGATGGCTTGATTCCCAGTTTGTGGTGCTATTTTGGGAGGTTCTGGAAACTTTAGGAGGTGAGTCCTAGCTGGAGGAAGTAGGTCACTGGGGGCATGCCTTTGAAGGTTATGCCTGGTTCCCGGTCCCTTCCTCTCACTCTGCTTCCTGTCCACCAAATGTGCTTGCAGCCATTATGTTCTACCTTGCCATAAGCCCAGAATCAATGAACCCAAGGACTATAGACTGAAACTTCTGAAATTGTGAGTCAAAATAAATTATTCCTCATTTTAAGTTGCTTATTTCGGGTATTTTGTCTCAAGGGCAAAAACTAACACATTCACTTTCTTATTTCTTTCTGCCATTACTCTTTTTATTGTCAGACACTGAAGTATTATTTCCAGCTACCTTGTAGAGATTTTTAAAAAATTAGTTAGGCTTTACTTATGCAATAATCACAGAGAATTTTTATCTTCAAGAAACATTTCCTCAATATAGATAGTCATTTTTATCTTATTAATATTAATTATACCTACTGGGTTACTTTAAGTGCAAGGCCCTGTGCTGGGCATGCAGATAAAACAGAAGAATAAGTACTAGAAACTGCCTATCTTTCCTATGGGAAAAAGGAAGATATATGTCTTCCCTATATAAAGAATTTGAACTATGTCAGGCACCGGTGGCTCATGCCTATAATCCTAACTAATCAAGAGGCAGAGATCAGGGGGATTGCAGTTTGAAGCCAACCCCAGCCAAATAGTTCACAAAACCCAATCTTGAAAAAACCCATCACAAAAAAAAGGATGGAATGGCAAAAGTTGTAGGCCCTGAGTTCAAGCCCCAGTACCATTAAAAAAGAAGAAGAATAAGAATTTGAACTTATAGTAGCAAATCACAAGGGAACAAATTTGAGAGAAAAATCCTCAGTTTTATGGAAATTCTTTACAAAATAGTCACTCAAGATCATTAAATAGAGATACTCCAGTTTGGCTCTGTATGCTATTTTCTTAGCCCTTTCAGGCTGCTATAACAAAATTTCACAAACCAGGTAGTTTATACACAACAGAAACTTATTTCTCAGAGTGGTAGAGGCTGGGAAATCCAAGTTCAAGGTGCCAGCAGACTTAATGTCTGATGAGGGCCCTGCTTTCTGGTTCATAATGGCCCCTTCTCGATGCATCCTCTTGTGGTAGAAGGGGTATCTCTCTAAGGCCTTTTGTTAGGGCATTAATTGCCCTCAGAATGGTAGAGTTCTCATGGTCTAATAACCCCACCTCCTAATGCCATCACTTTGGGGAATAGGTTTCTACTTTTGGGACTCACGAACATTCACACCATAGAATACAGCTATACCAAAGAGGAGTTTCTCTGCTCTAAAGTAGGAAACAAAACAGTGGAAGAAACTTGGAATGGAAGAAAACCTATACAGTCTTTAAAAGGCAACACTAACAGCAAGCAGATTTAATTGTCTTAGTTGACAGGTAAGTATTGAGCACAGTCTGTGTGCCAAGACCTAAGGCAGGTGCTGGGTTGCTAGGTTCATGGGTAAATGGGAGCTAACCAAGTGGACATGACCTTTCCATTCTGGAGTTCTAGCACCTCTGAAATAACCAGCTTGTTGATTTACTTCCTTGCCAAAATTTTTCAAACTGGTTTGTTTTTTGAATTTTGGTTTGTTTTAGGGGAATTTTCTCTCATGAAAATGCATTGCTAATTTAAAAGTTCCCATAATATCTTTGCTAGGCTAAAGCAGTAATAAATAAATGAAAATATAAAGCAGAAAACAATGAGAAAGTATGACTCCCTTTAGATACAATAACTTTACATTCAATTTTGGAATAATGCATGTTTTCCTTACAGTAAGTTCGCCATGGGTTTTTCAAAAAAATTACATTCATTAATGTTTTTTACCTAATTAAAAATATTAAGAAGGAGAAAAAATAATCTCACTGCCCTGATAATCCCTAATGTAATTTTTCATTTTCTTAAATACAATTACTACTGAAAACTAGTATTAGTTTTCTATGGTTGTGTAACAAATTACCACAAACTTAGTGACATTAAACAGTACTTGCTTATTAGCTCATAATTCTGTCAATCAGAAGTCCTGTATGGTGTGGCTGGCTTCTTCACTTAGGGCATCCCAAGGCTGAAGCCAAAGTGCCAGCTTCCAAGCTCACTGTTGGCAGAATTTCCCTTCCACCAGTTGTAAGACTGAGTACACAATTTCCTTGCTGGCTGGCACCTGGGCAATTCTCTCAGCTCCTAGAGGATGCCCACATTCCTAACCAAGTAGTCCTCTCCATGTTCAAGCCAACAATAGCACGTCCATTCCATTTCATGTTTTGAATATCTGATTCATTGTCTTTTCCAAGCAGCCAGAGAAAAATACCTGCCTTTAGAACTCTCCTGCAATTAAGTTAGGCCCACCAGATCACTCCTCTGAAAGTAAACTGTACCATATAACATCATAAAATCACAAGGGAGTAAGGACATATCATAATCATAGATCTGGAGTGGAAATGGATAGAACTGAAGATCTTCTTGCTGAAATGAGATAAGCCAAGCTCAAAAGGCCAAATATCTCATGTTCTTGCTCATTTGTGGAACCTAAACCTAAAATGATGATGATGATAAGTGATGATGGTGATAATGATAATGATAATGGGATCTGAATATAAAAAGAGTACTGTCTGGGCAGATGGGGTAGGGAGGAAAGGATAATGAGGGGTAAAGAGGATCAAAGTATGCTTCATACATACAGATGAAAACAGCAAAATGAAACTCACCAAGCCTTGTTAGTAAAAGGTGGGAGGGGAGCATGGGACTATAATGGGGGTTGAACTTTTTTTAAGTACACTGTATACATGTATGGAATTGTCACAATGAAACCCCCTCATATTACTGATCTATGCTCATTCAAAAATATAATAAAAAAAATTTTTAAGGAAGGTCGGAAGTCTTGGGGGACATCTGAGAATTCTGTTTTCCCCATAAATGAACATGGTAAAGGACACCGAAATGCGAAAAGTGGTTAAACGGGCATTAAACCAGCTGTTTATATCCAATTCTTCCCAACCCTATCTTTAGTGATAAACACAGGTAACAGTTTTCTTATGCATCTTTCTTGAAAAAAAACAAAAGATGCATATGCCTCCCTGTATTTCCTCCTTAAATTTAAATAAACAGTATCATATTAATTTTTAATTTAATCTCTCTTTGAGATCCTTCCTTAATGACGAATATGAACCTTGCATTATTCTTTATCATAGCTACATAGGAATGGCTTTTTATTTCCTTAAAAATTACATAAGAATAAGCTCAGGGATCAGCAATGAATCTTCCCTAAAAGTGAGGCATATTATTTATTATTTCCTGAAGATTTTTAAATTGTGGGCAGAGTTTGCATCAGACCCATTTTTCTACCTGAAACACCTACTTGTCTTGCAACAGATGGATTCTCCAGGAGTCTGTTTTGGGGGAGAGAGTCAATTAATTTTACTGTAAAGCAAATTTAAATAACTACTGAAGGAAGTGATCTATTCAGACATAATAGGATTTCAACATAATCTGGAAAGATTCCATACAGGAAAAGAAGGAGAGGAGGAGAAGAAAAGGAGGAAAATACAAAAGCAAAAGAAATCAGATTAAAGTCAAAGTGGAACCTGGAGTTCATCCACACTTCAGAGCTGGAGTGAAGCTCCACTTCTGATCATTACCACATCTTTCTCTGTGGCAACACCAAAGGAATAAAATGTATTTCTTTTTTTCACAAAACATGCACGTCTTTCTAATAATATCATTTGAAAATTCTTAAAACTATAATGTTTGCCCACGCATGGCAGCAGTATGTGTGTAATCCTAGTACTCTTTAGATTGAAGCAGTAAGCTTGAGGCCAGCCTGGACTACATAATCAAGATCTATCTTCACACACACACACAGACACAGACACACACACACACACACACACACACACACACACACACAGAGTGAAAGAGAGAGAAAAATCTATCTTCACACACACACACAGAGTGAGAGAGAGAGAGAGACAGAACTAAATGTTTGATCTGTGGCTTTAGAATACTAATTTCATATCTGTTTCTTCTAAGTACAAAAAGACAAAGAGACATCCACTACTTTTCACTGTTCTTTGAATGGGACTAGACATTAAAAATAGATTTACTTACTACTCATAACTTGTGATTCCTGAAGCTCTCACAAAGTTCATTTATTCAATTTTTTCTATGAAATGACAAGTTACTCTACTTCCATCAATTTAAATGCAAACACAGTAAACAATAACAACAGCCTAAACTTCCATAAGTGTTTTCTCAGTGTGGAGTCCTGAGGAAGCTGGATGCTTCTCCTCAGAGATCAGTCTACTGTTCTGAAATGGAGATAGACTATTACACACGTTAATGCTTATGACTTTACATAAATGCCTTAGGAATGTGGCCATTTGCTCTTAAAGTTTCTTCCTCACCTCTGCTGTAATGAAAGCCTAAGAGCATATCTCTGATGCTGGCCTACTGGGGCACCAAGGAGGGAACATCAATAGTAACTGAGCAGCATCTTAAGTACAAACCCCAGGGTTGTGTGAGGCAATTGTTAGTGAGATAGACAGCAGAAAAGCTGAAAGAAAAGCCAACACTGCCTTAGATTCTGTCCTGAGCCTGCCCTCAGGGGGCCCAATGCCTTCAAGAACCTTCCAAGACATTTTCCAAGTTTTCTCTGGTGCCTGGGAACAGCCCCTCTGGCAATGTCATCTGGACAGGAAGCCTCAGACCAGACCAGGACTTTTGTCTCATTTCTCTTCTATGGAGTACTCTCTAAGCCTCAACCCAATACACAGGGTAAGCCAGACATCCCAAAGAACTTCCAGAAGAAAAACTCTGCTGGCAAGCACAATTATTCCCTTCAGAACACTATAAAAGAATGAATGAGTTTGGGTCTCTGGAATGGGGTTAACATGCTGATTTTGGACAACTCACTCTTAAAGGTCATAGGACAAGTCCAGAAGTCTACTGTTTCCAGAAATCTACAGGTTGGTATAACAGCTCTTTAGACTGTAGTGCTACTGCTAGAGCCCCAAATGAGCAGGGTGGCAGCCAGTGCCCTTTATCCAGGGCTGTCACATGCACCAACTCCACAGGATCCATGCCACATGTGAGGCTGCGTTCTTGGAGTGGCCTTCCTTGCCCATCTCCTCCACAAACTTTCAAGATCTTTGCTTTCTTATGCTTGGTGACTCTTCAGATTTATGCTGCCTCTTGCCTTACATCACGTGTTGATGTTGTACCCTGCCAGCCTGGGCCTAAGCCGCATAGGCCAAGGATTGGTCATTTCTTCTGCAAATGGAACTACTTTTCTTATCGTCCATATGTCCCTTACCTATCTTTCCCACTAGCAGAAGTGGTGGAAGGCAGAAGTATGGTCAACACTAAAAGAGGACACATTCCAGGAATGCAGAGGTCACCATCTAAAAGAGGTCAAGAGAAGACATAGTTGGAAAATGTATTATTCTATGTCTACGTTATAAAACTCTGAACATTAAATTTAACATAACCAATAAGATAGCTTACATTGCACATTTTCCTGAATATGCTGTATGAAATTTGCATTTGTGGTCGTTATCAACAAAGCAATGTAACAACCTTTGGGACAGTCACAAGAAGTATTCACAGGTAGCGTGAGGAATGATACAGCCTCAGTAATGATGCAACCAGCATTGAATAAATGATATTACAGAACTGCAAAGGCAAAAGGTCTATATTATGTCCATACAAACAAGGCCTGGGGGCTATGCCATTATGAATAATAACAGCATTGCTACCTGCTTCCCACATGGTCAGAGATATGAAAATAGCCAGGAACCATGCCCTGAACAATAAGGAACAAGAAGATGCAATGCTTAGCTACTAGCAAATATGTACATAGCTCCACTTTACCCAGTATTTTGAAACTTTATTGAAAATTATGATACCTCACATAGGTCCATAAACTTTGTAACACTTTTAATACAGACAGAGTCCCCACAAAGAAAATTATTTGTTGAGGGCCCTGCACATTCTAGGGATGGCCCCGAGGAAGATTAGCAAGTAACCATTCAATACAAGCTCCATCCTTTCTCAGTACAGCTACTACAGATTTCACGTTACATGATTTGGGAATCTTCATGGCTTAATTCAGCAAATATTCTATATATAAATACACACACACACATAATCAAATAGTTACCACTCCATGTTTCAAAGATCCTCTGACAGGTACCTTTTCATATTTTTATTTATTTTGGTAGCTATCCAGCTGTTAGATTTTTGTTTTTTTCTGCTTAAAGAGACTCCACAATTATCTGAGTGTGGCTAACTCAGTGAATTAACTGCAGCTAAATGTTTATTTCTAGACTGTCTGACCTCCAACACCCAGCCTATTTCTGGATGGCCTCACTATACCATTAATTGGGGGAAACTCAGAGAATGCAAATTAATTTTGATGTCACCTTAGACATGTTCATTGTAGATTATAATCTTCTCTAAAATTACATAAATTCATGTTCATAACAGATGCATTTTATTTTTGAAGTATCTCTTGGATTGTTTTTTCCTTTTAATGAATATGGATAATTAAGACTTAACTATATATTAAGGCTTCCATTATAGCAATGGTCTCTTTTTCCATTTTTCACCTACATTTATAGCTACAAAAATGGTTACATATTCACGTGATTAATCTGTCTTAATGACTTTAAGTATTAATCTGATCATACGATTATTCAGTCAAACAACTAAGACAGGTTTGCGTTATAAGTGAATACTCACCAAGTATTGCTTTCCTCCTATCACATAGAGATCAGAAAGACCTAAATTTATAAACAGGAAGAAATTTAACCAAAATGAACAGCAGATATCTGAATAGAAAATAGCAACTGTTATAGTTTGAATAGGAAATGTCTCCCACAGGTTCATATATTGAAGACTTGGTCCCCAGCTGGTGGCACTATTTTGGGAGGTTCTGGAAACTTTAGGAGATGGGGCCTAGATTAATGAAGTAGGTCACTGGGGTGAGTCTTTGGGAGTTGTAGCTTGGCCCTGGGGACTCCCTCTCCTTCCTTCTTGCCCACCATAAAGTGAATAGCCTCCTCTGACATGCGCTCCCAGTACCATGATGTTCTTTCTCACCCTAGGCCCAGAAGCAATGGAGCCAAAGATATATGGACTAAAACATCTGAACCTGTGAGTCAAAATAAATAACTCTTCCCTCTAAGTTGTTTTTCTCAGGTATTTGTCACCTCAATGGAAAAAGTAACTAACAAACTAACCCTTTCAAGTAGTATAATGGTGACATGGCAGCAAGGAAAGGATTTTGAACAAAAACATTAGTAACTATAATCATTTCTTTCTTTCTTAGTAATGAATGATAAGTTTCAAGCTTTTTTTGTCTGGGAATTCAATAACAACAACAAAATGTATTCATCTTCTTTAAAAGGCAGTGGCCTTTAGAAAAAGAAAAGAATCCCTGAGAGATAGTCTTAGAATATAAAATTCTGTGACTTTCACTTATTTAAACCATAAATTATAGAAAATTAAAAGCAATTTCCTGACTTTTCAATACTGACCTTCGAGTGGATGCATCCCATTGAAAGATCAAATGCTAACAATTTTATATTCTACAAATCCAACAAAATCATTTATAAACATGAAGAAATTGAACCAAATGAACATCAGATGTCTAAATAGAAAATAGCAAGCACCTGCTTGCTTTAAAAAGAGTGTTTTAGAATTAATTAGAAGGTATTGATTATAAATAAGCAATAAGATGGCAGAAACAAAGAGACAGTTTCTTTAGACTGAAATTCAGTATTGAGAATCAGTACTTTCCAATTTGGTGCTTCAGTCAACATGTTTGGACATTATGTTCGGTACAAAGCACGATTTTGAAGGAAGAGTGTAAATGGTTCCAACTCCTCCACTGTGCAGTTATGTATCCTTACTCACCACACCCCACCAAGAGAAATAAAGTATTTCCATCCCAGTGTCTTTTTTCATCGCCTCTCTGCTCTGTTTTTCTAAACAGTGGGGTCAACCTGACATTTCCTGGAGGATTGCTCCTGTCAGCTAGAATCACTGTTCTTCCAGCTGCTGAGTCAGCCCACCCTCCTACCACTAGCTGGTAGTGATACAAGGAGACCTTCAAATTCTGTGAATTTTGTGTCTGGATTAGAACAGGCTTTTGGCCAATTTCTTTAAAACAGAACAGATTTTCAGACATTTATACAATCACGTTTCTAATTACAGAGGGCCCAGAAAAATACATATCATTTCAGACTTGGATGGACTGTTTCATTCCAAGTGGAAATCTTTTACTGTGTCACCCAGATAACTATCATATACAAAGGCCAGAGTAATTATTCCTATTGTGACAGAACATCATTCTAACTTGAAAAGCTAAGCTTTTAAGAGAAGAACTATAAATAGAGTCAAATACTAGACAAACTAACAAAATAAGAAGAAAAAAAAAGAATAGAAATCAGTCAGTTTAAATTTCCAACCCTTGTGACTTTCATTCTTTACCAACCATGCTTTTTCTGTGTAAGCTGATAGATGAATGCTGCACAATTTTACTGAACCAAAGGAACTTTTCTGTTTCAAAGACTTATGAAAGGTCAATAGAATAGATTTCAACAATTTGGAGAAAATAGTCTTCTGTTTTCTAGTGGAATTCTGGTTAATGAAGATACTGTCTATCAAATTCATCAGAACAAAATGAGCTAAAATATATAGACATGTTAGGTCTTGGCACCCTAAAATCAGACCTGAAACAGTAGTTCCAGTTCTTTAGATTTTTTGAAAGGTACACTTAAGAGAAAGTCAGTAGAGAGGGTATGAGCAGGAGAGGAAGGAAGAAGAGCTGAAAAGGATTTGGTCCCATATAAACACTAGTCTGGACCTGATCCATTATCTCACACCACAAAATTATTCATCCCTTGATCAAGGGGGCAATTTGTAGCCCCATATCCATCAATCATTGACTGCCCTTAGTTTGAGTGAAGATCATACCCTCCTGGGAGATGCAGCTGTCATCAGTAATTCTCTAGAAAAGGGGCAGCCATAAGTTATTGGTAGCCAACACCACAGAAGGTGAAGAAGGGTAGTGAGTAAAGGGATCCAGGCAAGACATCCACAGCATCCACTGCACTTGCTAATTGCGACTCATTCAGAAATTAGAAAAACACACAGGGCTCTGTCAAATTTTAGACAGACTGGAAAGAGTCACCTCTGGCATCAACAGGTGAAGTCATTGGGATGAAACGGCTGGCAATCTTACCCAGTTGCCCTTAATTGTATTATGCCCTATGACTCGTGCTTCCTTTGCTTGTTAACAATCTACAGCCTCTGACATAATGTATCCTTAACCTATTTTGGTTCTCTAATTCAGAATTATTCCTTCTTCCCGTATGAAAAAAAAAATGCTGCCAGTATTGAAACTATCCATTAAGTTAAGGGCACAAAGCAGAACATTAACATCCAACTTGAAGAAAAAGAAATAGACTTTAGAAATCGCAAAGCACAATTCTTTTTTAATGGAAGAATGAGGTTTCCAATTGAGAGATTTAGGGGCATAGAAAGAAGTTACCTTCCTTAAGATACAAATTTTATTTTCATTTGATGAGCCCTGTTCCATGGAAATCCTTCACCCAGTTAGAAATGTACACTTCTGCTGTGGTCTGTGACTCTCCCTGTTTCTCAGCTATGGGCACTAGCAATTCTCAACACACTGATTTTTCATACTCATACAGTGAGTGATTTTTCTCTTCCTTCCTCCCCAGCCTTGTGCTGGAGTGTTGGAGTGATTCACATTTTCATTGTTGCTCTGTGGTATTCAGAAGCAATCAAAACAAATCATTCCCAACAGGTAGATGGGAAATAAGAATTCAAAGGCTAGATAGCAATAAATTTGGTGTACCTTTACCTAGATGGGTGTTTTAAAACCACAAAAAAAGCTCAGGCACATCATTTTGCACTTCAAACTTTCCTTCTCTCCATTTTGAGGTGATTAACTTCATCTGGATATCCAGCTTTCTATTTTAATTCATTATTTAAAAAAAAAAAAGATTTGCCTATCTCCATAGGAAAATCCATTTCTTTCTCTTTTGACGTAATCAATGAGAAGGCATTAAATATAATGGTTTCCAAATCTTAACTAGAAATGCCAGTTTGATCACAAAAGGCTTTGTTAAAAGGGCATGTGGGAATCCATGGAGAGGGTCATCATTATAATAATCCACCGGGGACGGTTTGATTTCTATAGCTCAGAGTCCAGATATTTGTCCTGGATTCTGTAGTCAGCCAAAGGCGGTGGGAGATTTTTTTTCTGAAGCAAACAAATCTCCCTGTTTCATACTGATCCAACCTAATTCTAGCCACACAGCCTACACATTATATATTCCCTATTTTGAGAAAAACATTCCTGGAACAGGGAGTAGGCAGTGGACTCAATTCTATTTTCCACTAAATTGAGACACCTTAAAGATAAGAAAAGCTGTATTTTCTGTGACAGGGGAAAGCAGAATATTTCCTACAGTTTGAAAAAAAAAGTCGGGATGAGAGGTGAATGGCGGATTGACTTCCGGTTACAGGACAGCTTTAACAAGCTCTTACAAGGCTCACTCTAGCATCCTCTTGTTCCCCAGCTCCATTCCACATCCATAAAGAAGCAGTTTCCTAAAAGTAGACTGGTCTGGGAAGCAAAATTCCAGTTTTGTAAGGGCTCTGACCCTAGCCTCATACAATCTATGCCAAGACCCTCAAGTTATAATTAGCTTTCATTGTCCCTTCAGGCTCCCAGCATTTGCATGGCCAATACACTGCTATTTATTATCAGGAGTCAGTGGTGAGTTTTGTGGCCACAACTGTGTTCTGACCTTCTTCACAGGAGGTATTGAGAGTCAGTACAATTTTGCTCATATTTAAATAGTGTTACTATATCATCTCCAGGGATTAGAATTCTGATTTGAACAAGTGGATGGCAGCCTTTTGATTTTATTATTGGTGCAAGAAAGTACTACTTTATTTTTAATATTTGTATTTGGTTGAGGGGAATCAGCAAATATATTTTATGGAATGCAAGTAAGAAGGAGAGAAAGGTAAATATGAAGGAGGGAAACTTTCTGCTAAAATGTTGCCAGGTTCACAGATCTCCAAGGTTAGAACTACTTTTCTGAATTAACACTAATATAAGTTTACCTCTTTAATGATTGTGAGTTCAGTCTCACTACAATGAATTTCACCTCTGTAGCCTAGGAAAATGCAGCCTAGGTGAACAAAAGTTCTACAGCCAGAGGCCCAGCCTCCTTGCTGCTAAAATTAGCTGTCATTTATTTTTTGTGTTTACAGGCACCAGGCACGGTTAAGATTTCAAGTATGAAAGTATTATTACTTCCAGAATGCAAATTCTCAACAAGTCAGTGAGGTTGAAGCCCAGCTGGAATATTTACTAGCTATGTAACCCCCCAAAAGTACATTTAACCTCGTCATGTTTGTTTGTTCATTTGTAAAATGGGTGTTAAAAATAGTCCCAACTCATTTCAATTCAAGGTCTTGAAGAGTTATCTGCATTCCCATATTCAATGCTGTATTTATTCACAACAAAAATATAGAAGCAACATGAATGTCCACTGACGGCTAAACAAATTTGTTAAATGTGGTATGCTCATAAAATGTGAAATTATTTGGCCTTAGGAGGGAAAAAAAGAAAATGCTGTTATTTATAATAAAATGAATAAACCTCAGGACATTATGCTAAGTGAAATAAGCTCGGCACAGAAAGACAAATGCCGTGTGACTCCTCTTATTTCTCTTTATGCATCTAGAAACAGAATAGAGCAGTGATTGTCAAGGGCTAGAGGGCAGAGGAAATGGGAGTTATTGTTCAATGAGTATAAAGTTTGCATCATGGGAGATGAAATTCTTGAATTCATGATTTCTTGAGATCTGCTGAATAACATTGTAGATCCCATTTCAAAACACTTTAAGAATCCTCACCTCACAGGCTGTTGTAAGGTTAATTAGTAAGCACAGAATCTGGCACATGGAAAGAGTTTAAGAGTGTTGGCTACTGCTACTATCCACTTACTAAAGATGAAAAGGTGAAGGCTTCAAAGGTTAAGTAACTTTTGGTAGGCCACTCAGTGAATGATGCGCAAACCTAGGATTTGAATTCAGGTGATCTGTCT